ACAGGAATGTTCTTGAAGATCTATTACACATATGGGGAAAATTGTCTTTGTGTCTTATGATGTGGTTGTGAAGAGCCTTTCAGAATTGAAAACACAGAACGAAAGGAATTGTGGCACATAATTCTGGTTTTATTCAACAGAAACCTTCAAATCCCTTTTAATACACCTCACACACACTGTCATACACAAGTGTGATCACACTCACACTCTCATCAGACTTACGGGGAAAATACAGGCACACAGGCTCCCTTAAACAAACGCTTTCTCTCTCTCCCTCTCTATCTTCCTCTCTCTCTCTCAAAGGTTTCAACACCCCGCAGGTGTAAATGACCCAGATGCTTCACTGCTTACTGCCCTCACACTCAACCTGTGTCCATTACACACTCATTACACAGAGAGGCCCGAGGCACGTGCACGCACACACGCAAACACACACACACACACACACACACAAAGCTAACCGAGCTGCCATTGCATGCCCATCCACACATCACTGCATCATTGTTTAACAAATCTATTTGTCGCACACCATTAATGACAAGTTCAGTCAAAGTGTCTGTGTAATGACCAAATACATCCATTCACTGAATTCAGTCCTCTAACACAGCAGCACTGCACTCAAGCCTATCACACACACTCTGAGACAATCAGAACACACCTCTACTCAATATATTCATGGACATTTTAATGGTCAGCAATATGTGTTCTATCCATGATCAATTCAACCATGTTTATTCATTCATAACAACTGTTGTTAAGTTGGACAAGCTTCATAAAATATTGGCAAAAATCTCTTTCAACCTAATAAACACAAACAAATAAGCTTGTGTCAGAAACAAATTCCTTTAAAATTACATTGATTTGACATCCATGTGCAAGGTCACACTGTTAGAGTTGTTTTGTATTTTTTTATTTCCTATTTATTCATTTATTTTGGCATTGTAGGAAACTCTTCACTGCTGTTTCCAATCTGTCTATTTTTATTCAATACAATAACATGGTGCAGCTTGGTATTATAACAGTTTAAACTGCACACTCAATGTTACAAAGCAACTATTATATCTATACACAAACTTTTGGTGTCATCTTGTAAAGGTTGACCAACCTTGCATCAGTTGCTCACGTGTTTGTGGGTGAATCATAAATGGGTCAATTTATCCTTAACATTAGCATACAAATTACATCATAATATGCTTTTCTGAGCATACTGTGGAAATAGTACTGAACACTGACCAACTCCATAATTCATTATAAAGAGAGAATATAATTGTCAAAGTCAAACTATATAAAAACCACTGAACAGTTTTTTTCAATTATATTATTTTTAAAATGTGGCATTGCTAGTTTTTTCTTTGTGCTTTCCAACTTAAACCTAAATAAAACAAACAAATAAAACAGTGTGATACATATTGCGTTTCAAGAAAATGTTTTGAAGTATCATTATACTTTTTTGGCCTACTTTCCACTCTAATGGCTATACATCTCAAATGAAATGAGAATAAATAATTTGGTCAGTCTACCCGTGCAACACTGCCCCACAGTGAGAAAACAGCCCCAGTGTGCAGTGTGTTTTATTTAGCTTATCCATTTGCAGCAGTGCATGATCAGTGAAGTGGGTGGTGCTATGTTGGGGTGGGGCTATAAATCTCACTGCCAGAATAACAACTCACACAACCAAATAATGAAACACACCAGATAAATGCCTCATGATAAACAAAGAAAAGAGCTAATTGCTTTCATTCCACTTCAAAGGCCTTGTCTGTCTTGCATTATGTGTGTGTATGTGTGTGTATAATGTCAGGCTCAGCTTATAGGCCTGTGACTGTGATGTTTTAATTACCCCACTAAGACATGCATCTCTTTATCCATTGTTCTAATGTCATTTTTAACCCCCTCCCCCCCAAAATCTTCATTGGGAAAAAAGGGAAGTAGCAAGAGAGAGAGAGAGAGTGAAGGAATAAAATACAGAGCAAAAGAGCATTAATCAAAACCAACACTAGCTACCACACACACTCTTAAAGAAACCTTCAATTAGACAAACAGAATAAAGTTCCTTCTCAGCCGCAGCTAGGAGCAACCTGCCGATTATTCTACCATCCACTTAAAACGGCCATTTCACAGTGTATGAAATGGTTACTAAAGGCAATGAGAAGACACAGCCATCGGCTTAATGAGGCAGCTTATTCAAAACCAATAAAACAGGACACAGCATTATGCCAATGGAATTAAGTGGCAATTAAAGGCCTGTGAGAAATCAGTGGCGGCACATCGAATAGATGCTCATCACTGAAGTGGGAGAGGAGAGCCGCAGACTGTAAGATCAAACTGTAAAAAGATAATAGCGCGTTAAATGGTAGATGGAGTTAAACACATTATCACTCATGAACATGAGGAAAAGCAGTGAGAACACAGTCAGAGTAAAACAGCCGTAGTCTGAATTTAAAAATCGGTGGGGAAGCAAGAGTGAAAGGAGGAAAAAAAAGGAGAGAAAGAGAGGGAGAGAGAAGGGGGTTCAGGCTCAATAGTGACAGAGTATGGCTGAAATGGATTACTCTGTCAAGTTGAGTCCAGGCTTTGACTGACTGTTCCGTCAGCTCCAGCCACCAGCAGCAGCTTCATATCCAGCCAACCAGAGCCTTTTCCATGCAACAAAACACCCCTAATGATGATGCACGAGGCCGGAGGCCCTGTTGGGACTGTGTCCCTCACTACACAACACACCCACATAACCCTCTGCCATGCAAATACAGGTGTGTGATACAGGAGAGGTTCAGGATTTGACCAGATGATAATGTATTTACTTTTGTTTTCTCTTTCTTTTTTCCTGCTATTGTGTACCCTGATAATGTCCACAGCTACACTCTTCAAGAAAAGATGGTTCTTCAAAGGTTCCTTACTAAAAAAATGGTTCTATATAGAACCATGAACACTAAAGAACTCTTTGCATGATTAAAGGGTTTTTGCATTGTGAAAGTGTTCTTCAGATTGATGGAGAATGTGCTGCAGATGGTTCTATATAGCATGTTTTTGAAAAGGGTTCTATATAGCACCAAAAAAGGTTCTACTATGGTTTCAATGTAGAGCTTGTCACAACAGAAGAACCCTTTTTTGGAGTCATACAGAACACTTTTCAAAAAGATTCTATATAGAACCATCTGCAGTATATTCTCCATGAATCTTTAAGAAGCCTTTCACGGTGCAAAGAACCCTTTAATCATGCATTTTTTTGTGTTCATTTTCTTTACTAAAGAACCCCTTCAAGAACCATTTTTTAAGTGTGCACCTTAACGTTCTTTTGTTTTAGAAACTGGCCATTGTACCATAAAAACTGTCACCAAAATCTGATTCGTTTTAATAATTTTGGTAACATTCAAAATAACGTTCACCAGCGACAAAACCTCACTGACTAATCACAGTCACCTATGCCGTTGATATGACAACAACTAAGATGACTGATCAGCTATGTTCCAGCAAATAAAAACTTCTTCACAAATATCAGAAGGACCAGAATCTTTGAAAGATCTCAGTTTCAGCTCCTGAATGAAGTGATGAAGCTCTTCACGTTACTTTCACCTTTCCAAAACGCTGTATATACACTTAAAGAGCCCGTCTGTTTAGTGCTTCATCTGGTGTGGAGCTGCATCTCCAAACCTCAGCTGAGATCCCGGCTGTGAGTGAAAGAATTCGTAAAGTTTAAGCTCCTAAAATGGGGTTGAGAAACTCTCTGCTCTGCTTTCGCTGTTACAAAGTGGAAAGCATCCTACACAATGTCACAGTGTGCCCCATTTTTTGAGGAGCAAATCAGTTTCACAAAGATATAGTTGCTATATATTCAGTCAATGTATATGTTTTTTTGTATATATTCTGGCCATTTTTTGGTGGTGCATAATACACTGCAAAACTCCCCCCCCCAAAAAAATGTCACCTATGAAGTGTATTGTTTTAATGCAGAAAAAACACATCCAAATATTTAGAATTTTCATGTTGTTTTTGTGCATCACATTCAGCATAACAGCCTCAACTCTGTCACTTTGTCATAATGCGCCCTCTTACAAATAAAAGCAGCAATAAGAGTTTTTTGGATTTGCAATAGAAAGAGGAACCTATTGTGTTCCTTAATGAACCTTTCAATATATGGTCCTTTAAAGAACCATTTTTGTAAATGATATATAAATGTAAAGAGCCTATTTTAAAGTTTAAAGAACCTCTACGTAATGTAAAGGTTCTATAACAACCAAGAACCATATATCCAAGCCAAGAACCATATTTGAACCTTTATTTTGTGCGTCTTTCTACTATGGAAGGAATTGTTGTTTGTTTATGTACTCTGAATTCAAAAACAATAAACAGAGTTTGGGGAAAAAAGAAGGAGGTGTTTCAGGGAAGTGAGGAGGGAGGAGTGTTGGGGAGGAGGTATGGGGGCGCTGAGAGGGTGAAATGGATCCTGGCAGCTTGAGAAAATCGATTGTGAAAATTAATAAGTGAATTCCCTCCAGCGCGCTCCCGTGCCTCCGACGACTCAATCTCCTTTTTCGCACCTCTCCTTTTTCATTCCACTCCTTTTCAGGTGCCTTTCGAATGCCGCCCACACACACACCTCCAGACAGCTCCGCCAAAGGACTGACGGGCCAAGAGAGCGTGTGTGCATGTCGAGAGCGAGAAAGACGAATATTAGAGGAATTGAACGAGTCAAAAACCAGCAGAGTGTGGTGCTCGCCTCCAAGGTCAGAGAAATTATAGCCTGCACTTTTGAAGTCTCCTCTCTACTTATTTTCTTTGTTCCCTGTCATTTTGTGTCGCTCATCTAATCTCTACTCCTCTCCTTGACTTTGGAGTGTTATCTTTAACTGGAATGTAACCGGAGCTCAACGGAACAAACAAAGAATACTCATTGTCACTGGAAATGCTACAAAAGGTATAAAACAGTACTCCAGGCTGGCTACAGACAGATGGAAGTGTGCTTGGAGAGTGGAGACAAGCTGAGAGTGAGAATGCTTTACCTGTTCCTGGCGCACCAGCCAGCGGTCCACCATGGGGTGATTGGCGCTGAGGGAGGAGCGGGCACTCTCTCTCTGAAATTGGCTGGCCCACGCTGCTGTATCACGAGGCAGACTGCGATACGAGGCTGGCCCCTTACCCTGCATCACATATTCAGACACAAACAAGAATTAGATGTCTGCATTCAGACCACTGACTTACAGAGCACTTATTTCTCTCTCTAATTGTTACAATTTCACATCCAGTTTGCATTAAAAAGATGTTTGATGTTTTACACAGTATCCCTCTTAAACTTTGAATACACTTGTACAACTGTATGACTTACTGTTATAACAATGGGCAAGAGTACAGCTGTACAAAAGTTTCAATTCCCCTTATCAAATGACAAGTTTTGTTGATTTTTTAGGAGAAATAAGTTAATGCATCCTCTAAAAAGAACACACTTAAATAGGGCACTTTTCTGCAAATTTTAGAGCACAATTCTATTTATTTGCTGAGTTTAACGTATTGGAAAAAAAGATACGGAAATGTAAAATGTAAACTTTTGCAAATGCCGCTTTATTAATTTAGTTATTATTATTGTGACACTTTATTTTAAGTGGTCCTTTTAGATGAAACAAACACTCAACAGACTCTCAGTAACATGTCAAAAACATATGAGGGTTAGGGTTAGGTTTTGTGTTGAGGTTAAGTTTAGGGTTAGGATTAGGGCCAGGGTTAGGGTTAGGTTTTGGGTAAGGCTGGGTAAGGTTAGGTTTTGTGTAATGGAAGTAACATATTAGCAATACATCTAACTTAATGTAAGCAATGTATCAACAGTACATGCAGATATTTACTTGTATTCAGATGCTTCACTACTGCTACTCCACTGATATGTTGTTGATGTGTTACTGATAATCTGTTAAGAGTTTATTAATCATCTACAAAGGACCACTCCAAATAAAGTTGTTTGCCAAATAAATAAATGTAAACATGAACAGAATAAAGCCATGTGACTGCCCTTAAGCTTCTATTTTGTCCAGCTGCAGCAACAAAACATGACAGAGGGCTGAAGATCTTAGCTGACTAATAAAGTAGCTAAGAACAGTGATATTAGACAGTGATATTAGACGATACGCAGACATAAAATGCCTGTTCCGATTAAAGGGCATTTTCTGAGCCACTGTGTCTGTTCTCCGTCTCCATGTTCTTCTAAAAAGGCTGCTATAAAATGAAACATAACAGCAATGAGAAACTGCTCTAAAGACTGCTCTGTAAACATGCTACATTTTACTCATAAATGTTGCTATGGCTATGATGTAGAGACTTTTACTCTGTTGTAAAGAGCAGATGGAAACACTCTCAATCACATTATTTTTTGGTGATATTTTAGTCATTTGCTTTAATTCGACAGCTGGATGGAAATCTGGCTAGTGTTAGAACAACATCAGCAATTCTATTTAAGATTACTGAACAACTTCATGTGGTTTGAGGCAAGTGGGTGATAATTTAGGCATGTAGTTTGGCCAGAAGTAATTGGTGAGGTGAAGGATTTCATTAGTTGTTGGTGCAGGCCTTTATTATTTAAAGCCTTGTAGTTCCAGTGCGAAACTTCAGACACAAGATATGCCTTGGATGACTGAAGACATCTGAAGTGAGGGGGGAATTCTGTAAATGTGATTTCTCATCTAACTCTACTAAACTAAAATGTTTTAAATGGCTCAGAGTGAAGATGTTTGTTCCTGAACACGACTACACTCACTCCACACACAGTTAATCTGAAAATGCAAAAAATACTGTAGCTAAATGAAGAAAAGAAAAAAAATACCGAGTACAGTAATGCCTTTCTGAAAGTCTCCTGCTGATATGACTGACAGTTGCCACACTGAGCTGTTATTAGAACTATTAAGACTGGCAGGCTATGGAAGCTTATTTTGGACTCAAGCCCTGCAATGACACAATCATTCCACTGAGGTCTGGAACACACACTCATTTCTTTCCACACTAATTAGAGACTCCATTAAAGGCCACTAATTCTCATAGCGGCAAAAGCTCAGATATAGTGTTACAACCGCATATTTTGTCTGAAGGTGAAATCAAACGCCCAGCAGCATAGGAGCTGTGAATCAGATCTCTTTTTGCTGCCTTTTTGGAGCAAACGGACATAAAGCAGGTTAGTTTCACACACCAAGGGCCTCGGCCTAGAAAGGCTGCCGAGCAGAGTCGCTTGTGGCTACAGACATCATCATACTTTATAAAAAAAATAATAAAAAAAGAGTCTGCAGTTACAGAATCAGTCAATCCACAGCAGGTCAAATCACTCAGCTGTTTTTCTAAAAGTGTAGATTTCCCAGCTCAAATTAATCCAGATGGTTAACTGAGAGGTGGAATGGCATAAAGGGCCAGATGATGAGAGGTAGACAGGAACACAGAGAAACAGTTCAGTGGCCTCGCAGGATGGCTTCTGATCATTATCCCAGCACTAGCCACAGTTTGGGACCAAAAAAAGAGACTTGTTCCTCTTTACCACATAGCAAATGGTGCAAATAAGGCGGAAATAGACGACATAAATCAGAATGAAGGGAGAGCACATTAGGTACCACTGTCTCTGCCATCAGCATTTACACAGAAGGCGAGAGAGAGAGAAAGAGAGAGAGAGAGAGAGAGAGAGAGAGAGAGAGAGAGAGAGAGAGAGAGAGAGAGAGAGAGAGAGAGAGAGAGAGAGAGAGAAAAAAACAGAGACACCAAAACATTGTAAAGTCATCATGCAGAAGTGAGGAGTTTATAAGACCAGTCTTCTGAATCAAGAGTCCCTGTGGATGCCTCACTGATAGGACTAACATACCTGAGCAAGGGCTTTTAGACTCATTTCAGCAAGACCCTAGCAGTCAAGTACCATGCCCCAGCAGTGGACATAAAAAAATACACATCTAGAGAAGCGTAGCTTGTATTTGTCCATGCGCTGGTCAAGATGGTGTGGTAAACATAGTAGTGTACTCTCTGTACACTACTACACTCACACTGCTCACAGTTAATCTGCAAAACAAAAAATAGTCTGAAATAAAAAAAAATCCAAATCCAGAAAAGATCCAGAACTCATCATTTTAAAGGCCAGATGACTTGTACAGGCTAGAGCATAGAAAGAAACTCACCAGTCAAGAAGAATTTACAGAAAGATTTTTTGGTTTGTTTGTTTTTAAATAAAGAGTACATGTATGTTCATATATGGATATAGGGGTACAAGTCCAGGAGAAATATGGCCTGTATTTTTCTTTGTGCTGATCAGAGCAGCACGGCATGTAGAGTATCTAGTTTACTGAAAGACTAGCCGACTGGCTGAGAAAAGATTTTGAAAAATTTAGATGATGTCTCTTCAAATAAAGAGCATCTATTTTTTCATACTGTATATGACAACCGACGGAGGTATATATCCAGAAGAAATATGGACTGTGTTGTTAAGAGTAGCATCAAAAGAAGAGTGGCTAAAGAACAATGAAAGAAAAAACTGTGTCAAAATATAAGGTATATATCTAGCAGAAATGCTGACTGTTCGTCCATGCGCTGCTCAGAGTAGCATAGCAAGTATAGAGGCAAGCTTATAGACTTCTGCAAAGACCAACAGACTGGCCAAGAAGAGATTTTGAAAAAGCCAACAGATACATCTGAAAAGATAAATGTGAATAGTATACAGATAGAACAGATCAGATGAATGTATACACGTATACAGGAGAGACGTGGACTGTGTGCAGTACGGCAAGAAGCACGGCCAGCTTGTAGGTGGAGGACTGTGAAGACTAGCTGGTCCTCCACGAAAAAATATTGTGGGGAAAAAAAGGAAGATGGCTCCACAGATAAAGCAAGTCTGGATTTTCATATGTAAAAATCAGTTATACATCCACAGAAATCACACTGCACAAGCACACTGGCTGACTTACTGGTGGATTGGTGAAGGTATATATATATATATATATATATATATATATATATCGATCACACAGGCAAAGGCAATCACAAGCAGAAGGCTGCAGACAACAGGAGCGTATTAACCAACAGTGCCATACATTTTTACTTTAAACTGAACAGAGGGCCATGGTATCAAACCATAATACTACTCATCCTAAAGAGAGCACTGCTGCAAAACGATCCAGATGGTAGTTTGACTCTATCAACCACAAACAGACCTTACAGTCACCTCAAGCCTTTGATACCTCACCCCAAAAGCAACAACAGCATAGAAAAAAATAAAAGATCAACTGCTTCACAACGAAAAAAACAGCTTAATTCCTCAGCCCTGCTCAAATGAGAGCGTGCTGCTGGATTACGGAGGCTGTGACAAGCGGAGTGCTTTTAAACAGGATTACTAGCGAACGCCGCAAGACGCGCTAATCTCATCGCGGGCTTCTGTGTCACATTCACTGCGCCATCCTTTCCCTCCACCCTCACTTCCTCTCTTTTATTTGGAATATTGCCATTTCCAAGGCACTGAAGAGTTGTCATCGCAGAGAGTGGCCATTCAGAGAGAATAATTAGCCTCTTTTTTCACTGGTCGCCATGGGGTGGGTGGGGGGTCAGGAGAGAGAGAGAGTAGGAGCTTCCCCTCTGATTCATTAGAAGCCACAGGCACTGACCTCACTTCTGAGGCTAACAACAAAGGAAAACGTTAACACTCTAAGGAGTGCTCTACATTCTCCACAGCACACAGAATCATATTAGCTACCCCATAAAGGAGAGAGCAACAAGCAGGGTAGCACTACAATAGCCTAAACCAGGCCAGTGTTTACACGAGGCCTGCCTGAGAGAGAAAGAGCTGTAGATGCTTAGAGCAGAAGAAACGTGAGGAGCAGTGTTCTACTAAAAGTGTCCCTGTTTATTGTAAAATAAATAAACATGTTCTGTTTCTAAGGAATCAAGCTTTATGGTGTTGAGTTAAATGAAGTATTTAAAAACATTTAGGTAGGGATAGGCATTTTAACTTTTTTGCTATTCTTATATCCACATTTTTAAACTAATAGTGTGAATAATAATAATAATAATAATAATAATAATAATAATAATAATATGACTAATGTTATATTGTTAATAATTATTATAATTATTGTAAATAATAACAATAAAAAATGGTTAACCTTCATTTATTGCATACTAGTTTAAAGACCCAGCACAGATGAAATTAAGATTTTAGCCAACTTCTGAAATTTTGTTTTACCAGTTCAAACTGCTAAGAAGTTAAGAGCAATGACCCACAGGGTCAAACCTTTAAGGATCTGCTGAAAGATTAGCTGAAAAAATGTAAAATATGAGGTATGTGTGTGTTGCATGCATGTTTTACAAGCTTCAAAGTATATTGCTAATATGCAAAGCACTAAATTCTACCAAGGAAAATAAATAAACAGCCCAGTTAGTTTGATGCTAAAATAAAAAGGAAATTCACTACAGACGCTAATGGAAGTTAGCATTATGCTAGCAGAGTTAAACAAACAAAGTACAAGTATTTATAAAGTGAAGTTCTCAAATGTGAAATTGCACAGCTGGCACATTTCTATGATTACATTCTATTATTATGACAAAAAAGTTCACAAACTTACTGTAATATCTAATGCTTTATATGTTGTTGGCACAGTCAGTCTATGTGAGTCTATATAAGCGCAGTCTTTGATGTCTTACATTGCACTAAATTTAGTGTCATGCCAAAAAGGAGTTTGGGGGGCAGTGTAACAATATTTCAAAACTTTAGAGATCAATTTTATACATCTATCAGGGCACAGCATTTACTGTGCTGTGCTAATAGGAAGGAAAGTACTGTGCTGGGCCTTTAAAACATAATCTGTTCAGTTGATTTAGTGATTTATCTTTGTTTTAGGTGTCTGTGAGTTAACACGCTACCTACCTGTCAACCACAAGCTGAGTCACACAAACTTACACTGTAAAAACTTGCAATCTTTTTGTTTAAAATGGATGTCTACATTGTAGCTGCCCAAAAAAAAACCAAGTATATCCAAAAGGGCAACTTTACAGGAGAAGGCAAAAACATTCTTTAATTTTAATGTAAGGTAATGTAAAGAAATGTTATGCAAAAATGTCAAGCAACTCTGAAGCACTTCTATTGGTTTGTTCATCATGAAATAAAAAAATATCAGTTACTTGACTCCCAAAATTCATATTCAGTCAAAAATTTATTTAAAAATGTCACAATTTCTTATCATCTCTTTCTTTTTCACGACTACACATGCCTTAGCCAAATAAACAGTAATGTCTAATTTTTGGGAGCGTTGAAGGGTCTGACCTTTCGCTCCAGGCTGTTGGTTCCACTGGTGGCGTTTGGTTTGAGGAAGCCTGCAGTAGTGGACCAACGGGAGGGGTTCTTTCGAGATGGCTCATCTGGCTGGAGTGCAGATTCTGTCAAGGCTACCAAAGCGGGATCGCTACTGCGTCTGACATGTAGGGGCATGTCTGAAAGACAGAGAAAAAGAAAATGTTATGGTTTAAGAGAAAAGACAGCTGGTATTTTCAAATGGTGTTTAAAACATAAAATATAAAAAAAAATAAAAACAAAAAATTGTTCTTTTGGGATGATACATATATCCACATTATATGCATGCATATATACATTAACTGCTAAACAGATCTAACTGATTTGCCACCACTGTAACTTAACGTGGCCATTCCAATAGAACTCTCAGAGCTGAGCTGAAAGAAAGAGAGCGAGAGAGAGAAAAACAGAGAGAAAAAGAGGGAGAACGAGAGGGAGAGATACAGAGAGGATTAATACCACATTCTTCTCCTGATATGTAGCTATCTCGTGGCACAATGGCTCCTATTGAGCGGAGCAGAGGAACACATCCACTACACAGCCGTGCTGATTTCACCCACAGCTCTTCAGCCCGGCTGCTTTGTTTTCCTGCAGATAGCCTATTTGAGCTCTGCATTGATACACAACAGCAAACAGCAAAACAGCAGTATACTTCTGTCACACGCACAAAGCCTCGTACCCTACACGCAGCTGAATAGACCACAGCAATGACGAGCACTTAGCCAAGCTCATCCTGCTACACCATACAAAGACACACAGGACAAGCAGATATAGAGACATATTCTTGAACTGACTGGCCTTCAACTTCAGTCAGGTTTCTTTCTCTCTTTCATCCTTTTCAATCACATCATATTGACAATAAGAATCCTCAACTGTTCTATTAGATTTCCATTATTACTATTACCCATAAAATCATGAAAAGTAGGGACAGAATTCAGGTGGTTGTTACTACTGTTTATGTTATGTTACATACTTTTGCCCATTTTCATAGATTTTAGCTTGTTTTAACAAACAGTAGGGTATAAGCTACATTAGTCTTGCCGTTCCAGTGTAAAATTAAGCATGCAGACAGCAAACATGTGTTGGCAGATCAACTGCATTTGGGCCAAGGAAAGTTTTTTTGTTTGTTTTTTTTTTTGTTTTTTTGGTAAACTATGACTTCAATGTCAACATGAACCAGAAATCAGAACAAATTTTCTGTCCATATCATGATGCATTTCCAAATAAAACAGGATATCAGGCAGGGTAGCTGTAAGTTTCTGCTTGATGATAGGTGTGGGTGAAAGAAGTGGGCAACAAAACAGATATTATTGGTTAATACTATTTTTCCCAGCCTGCTGGTGATGTAATCAAAAATCAAAAGGCATTTTAGAAGAAGAAAAAAAGTCTCTACACTTTGGTTGAAGACTACAGAGAAGCAATAATTTTAAATGGTTCATGATAAACTGTGTATGTACATGTATTACTAAGGTAAATTCAGGTTTAAATTACAGGAAATGAGAGCACAAATCCATAATTCTTCAAAGCAAGTACAGAGAGAGCTCTTTCCATACAACCCCAGAGCCTGTACTCATGAAGCACCTCAGTGGAGGACTGACAAAGCCCCTTAACATAGGGACCTACACTCATGAGACCTGAGACCAACTGGAAATGCAGGTCAGGATTACATAAAAGCTGGTAGCTCTAAAAATTTGAGTTGAAAACTGGCTGTTTTCAGTTGGTAGGCTTTGTGAATGTGCATGAAGGCTCTAAGAGGCCATATGGATCCTGTTTATGACTAGTTACAACTGCTCACGGTACATCAACAAATTATGCAAATATCACAGCAGCCACCTGCCATCTTTCAACACTTACACCACTTAGCATATGCGCACGTTTCTGATTCCCTCTGACTCCATATGCAGCTTGAGACCAGCCGCACTTGACACAGGCACAATGCTCACATTCTTCACTGCCATACTGATTCATATGAGACTGGTCAGGTGGTGTGAGTGTGTCTCGCAGCAGCCTGAAAAGCCACCACACCTGCACTGTTTGCCTGAAATTACTTCCAGGCCTCAATAATGATTTTTAAACTCACTTCCCCCTGGCCCCCCTCAGTGGTCAGTTCATGTCTAGTGCAGGGCTCCGGTGACACCAGACCCTTAGAGGAATCACAATTGTATAACTACATTCCACAGGCTGGATTGGACTAAGTAATTAGGCTGAGAGGCCAAGTTGAAACAGCTCAACCTAAACACAGAGAAGAAAAGGGAAAAAAGATCAAATTACAACTGCATACACTGACCTTAGTAAATGTCATTATAAACCTGCTAATGCTAGACACATAATAATGAAGCCTGGCATGTCCTGTATGTGAAACTGTAGATAATGGATCTGGTAACTAATGTAGTTCTGATGTGTTTTTCCAAGTATTTAAAATGGGAAAAGCAGCACTCTACTTAACACTAAGGCGAGGTGACGGCTGGATTGAACAGGACTGTATCTGCCAAATGTCTGTGAATCTCATATGATTTATGTAATTTTTTTTTAACAATATGGTTGTTAAAGATATTAACAATTGATCATTGTTTTTAATGTTTTTACTATATCACCTATATATGAAATGCAGCAAGTAAAAGAAAAGTCAAAACTAAAAGATTCCATCCCAGTGAATTAATTTACATAGCTCAAATCAGACATGACAGTTAAAGCTGCACTATGTAAAATGTGGGGATTTGGAGACATCTCTGGTGAAAATGTGCAATTGCATACAACATGCGGAAGATCCCAAGGCATTTGAGTATTAATTCAGTAGCAATTTTGCATTTGAAGTCAGAAGATCAAGACAGACCTTCCTTTTGACTCCTTATGCCTGTGGTGTTATTACATAAAATGTGTGACATGGTCCAAAAGCCCCTATGAAGTCCAATATGACGCCTCTCACTTTTAAATTATTATTTTGGCCTTTACACGATGACTTGTGCATGGACACTTTTAAGCGTGTTCTCCTGTCTCCTAAATCAGTGATGTTACTTCCTTCAGTTGTCAAAAAATACTTCAAATTATTATTAGTACTGCTTTAACGTAAACATTTACACTATGAAGGAGATGCTCTTATCCAGAGCCAAGTGAACAGGTGAATTCACTAAAAGTTAAAAGTGAATTCAATGTTAGCAGTCTAGTCCAAGGATACAGCAGTTGGTGCATCGACGAGGAACTGAACTTTAAAGCTTTTGTCTAGTAGGGCATGGTGTTATCCACCATGTTATCCACTTCAGTGAGTGAAACAATCTTTGCAGAATGTAAATGCACAATCAATAGTGTACTACACATGTATCAGTGCACACATAATGAAAAACTGGGCAGTAATCAGTAGTACTTTAATCAGTAGTACATGATTAAAACACAGCTTTCCCAGTTACCGGTGTAAAAACTGTCTAGCGATACATCACAAAAGCATAATTTTTGGCTTTGTTTTTCAGTGAGCCAGCACAAAGTCTGGGTGAAGGGTCCAGTGGATTTGCAAGGAAACACTCAAACCTTCAGCAGATGTGCAGGAGCCTGCTATGAAAGAGAAATCAAAGAGTTGAAGGAGGATGCACTCCTTCTTCCTCTTCCACCTTTTCATCTCTCCCTTTTTTATCTCTGCAAGCCCAAAGTGAGCAAATGTGGAATTTATGGTGAGGCCGTGGCGGGTACCTTTGAACATTCACTCAGAACAGGTGGCCATTCAGCTGGAGTATGCGCTCATCGTTTCACTGACTTTTGCTTAGAATTTCATTTTTAAAGTAGATCAAAGTGCCTAAAGTGGATCAAACCGTATATGATCAACAGTAACATGTGGCATTACTTGGGACAATTGCTGAACATGTGTGCTCTTCCTGCCAGTAAAAAAAAACAACCCTGCAGTTTTGTCTGGGTCCATCTGACTCCTTCCGATATAACTCTTTTTAGGACACTTGATATAAGTGGGATATTCCAAAATAATCATGGTGTTCACTCTCACTTCAAATGGTCAGTTCCAGCAAAAATATAGCTGCTGGGTCAGTCAAAAAAAACAGCCGTAATGAGATTCTTCTGCTGTCTCGTGAAATACGTCAAGCAAGAATGCAGGGACTTTCTCACAGACATCGCAGTGTGAGCTAGGACTGCAGCCTTATAAGATAAAGGAGCCAAATTACAAAGTACAATATTTACATACATAAACCACATGGAAACAGCAGTTGCCCTTTAGAACATTTATGATGAACGAACCACTAGAAATACTCCCAAAATGACTTGGAAAAAAATCCTGTTACATTTAACAGTGAAGTTAAGACTTTTTTCCCCTTCTTCTATAAAGTAACTGTTTTGGAGATATAAGGTTTTATCACAACAATATATTTAAAAATGCACTTTTTGAACAAGGGAAATGATGCAGACTGTATGTGAGAACAGACAGAGGACACAAACCCCAAAATCCCCCCCCTTCCTAACCCACCCCCTCTCTCTCTCTCTCTCTCTCTCTCTCTCATATATATAGGCTCCTAATGTGTGATCGGATTAGCTTTCCATCGCTCCGAAATTGGCTTCTCCTGCGTTTAATAACCTGGACGACCACTTAAAGCTCCTGGCCCATCGATCTCAGGTGTGTTGGGGGACAGCCAGGGCCCCTAACGAGATGGAAGGGCAATTTCACCCCTAGTGTGGGGGCTTAGAAAGCCTGCCCACCCCCATACACCAGAGACTGGGTTCAACACACAGGAGAGCACCTCTCACAAAGCTCATATTTACATCACTAATCTACTGCCTCTGGCTCCAAGAGACAGAGAGAGAGTGTGTGTGTGTGTGTGTGTGTGTGTGTGTGTGTGTGTGTGGGTGTGTGTGTGTGTGTGTGTGTGTGTGAGAGAGAGAGAGAGAGAGAGGGAGGGATTGGGGGGATTAATCTGTAATTAACACAGAGTGCACATAGATGTCTAGGGAAGATACAGAGAAAAGTCTCAACCTCAGAAGCTTCATTACTTTCTGTTACATAAAAAAGATCCAGATATAACCTTTCTAAAACAGACATCAGACAGAAAAGCTGAAACAAGGCTGATATGCACCTACCTGGAGCATCTCTCATACTGCACCACAGACACAAAAATATGTTTTGGCGCTTTTAACTCTTGCAAATTCT